GCAGCGCTCCAGCCCCTCGCTGTCCTTCAGCCAGGCGTTCACCTTGTCCCGGGAGCTGGCCAGAGTGGACAGGGCAGGGGCACTGCCCGAGGGCAGGATCCGTGTCCACTGGCCCTGCAGCAGGGGACAGAGGGCACTGACATCAGGAGCTCCACACTCAGACCCTGCTGGTGTTGGCAGCCCGAGGTGTCACCCACCTGTGTGTTGGTTCTCCCCCCGGGACAGGGCTCAGACCTCTCGCCGTGGTGGTGGGTGCAGAGGTTGCTCACCCAGCTGGAGAAGAGCTCTGGAGACTTGATCTGGGGGACAGGGGAGAGTTGGTGGGGGGCATGATCCAATACCTCCAGCCCTGTTCAAGTGCCACCCCAGCTGCAGCCCCTACTGGCACCTTGAGGTGGTAAATGTTCTCCTCTGTGTCCAGGTCAACCCTCTGTGCCTTCTTGTTGACAGACATGACGGACTGACGGACATCGATAGCCCCGTGCAGCTTCCCCTTGAGGACCTGGAGGAGCCCAGGGAGACCTGTCAGGGGGAAGACTCCCCTTCCTCAGGGGGCTCACGGGGGTCTCCCCCACCCTGAGCCCACGGGGAAGCTGTGTGGACACAGCCTGGGCACACACTCACGTCCTGGCGCGTGGTGGCATATTTCAGGATCCCATTTTCCAGCACAAAGTACCTCTGGGGACACAGAGGGAAGGTTGTTGGGGGGAGCAGAGAACATTCCCTGCAGCCTTTCACCCAGAGGGCCAAATCACCCCAGGATCAGCCAAGTGGTGGCTCCCAGTGCCAGCTCTGCCCGTTACCTTGTGCCAGCCCTTCAGGGGCCATTTCCTCTTCTTGAGCAGGTACCCCTCGTGCCGTCGTGGCTCCTGCCCTGGGCTGCCCCGTGCCCTTGGCTCCTCCACCACTTCCCAGCTCTCTGAGCCCTGCAGGGACAGGGCTCAGCATGGGGGTCCCTCAGCACCAGAGGCAGTGCTCCCCACCTTGTCCCCAGCCAGGGACACTTGGCACCCCCAGGGGATGGAGCATCTCTGCATCACCCTCCTAAAGCAGGGTGAAGCCCCCCCAGGACCTCACCAGTCCCCCCAGTCAGCCTGTGTGCATCACTGGGGTCCTGCTGAGCCCCCCATCCCACATC